GAGCCAGGGGCAGGGCCCATGCTGGCAGGCAAGCAGGAGTCTCTGTCAAGGCCAATGATGGTGAGGGTGACACAGGGTGTGCCCGAGGCTTCATCCTGAATCCCGCCTCACCCTCCCTCACGGAGGCCTGTACTTCATGGTGCACCGTCTGCTATGAAGTGACGCCCCAGAATCTGAGCTAAACCTCTTCCCCGCCCTCTCAGCAAACCTGGATCTCCATGCTGGCAGGCAAGCAGGAGTCTCTGTCAAGGCCAATGATGGTGAGGGTGACACAGGGTGTGCCCGAGGCTTCATCCTGAATCCCGCCTCACCCTCCCTCACGGAGGCCTGTACTTCATGGTGCACCGTCTGCTATGAAGTGACGCCCCAGAATCTGAGCTAAACCTCTTCCCCGCCCTCTCAGCAAACCTGGATCTGAATACCAGGAGAACACACAGGTGTCCCTCCGGCTCCTTTGCGGGCTCCCAGCACCCGGAGGCGGGGGTTGGTGTCCTCTCTCCTGGCAGCAGGTGGATGGGGTGCGGCTGGCCATGAATCCCGTCCAACTGCCCCCAGGGCCCCTGGAGTCACCCTGCCCCCACCCCTTGCACTTTCATATCCGTGGGCTCCGGGATCAGATCTCTATATCAGGGTGAGTCCTGCTACTAATTAGATGCCTTTAAAGGCACCTTCCTTCCACCTACAATTACTGAGCAAAGAGGGACCTGGTCAAGGGGTGACTCATCTTAAGGGCTTCAGGGCTGATGCAAGTGCCTGCTCATCTGGGTGCATTCAGCCAGCCTACAGGGTGTAATTAAGACCCATTAATTCCTGCCTCCTTAGTGAGAGCTTGTTTTCAAATCCTGGGACAAAATGGTAAACAAGCCGACTCAGGGGTCACGGCCCAGCGTGGCTACAGGCCAGCTCCGCGTGGGGAGGGAGCTGGGGGGGGGCAGGCAGGGGGGCAGCGCCCCCTGAATCCAGGCAGCACCAGCCACCGTCACCTTCAAGGTCCTGACGCTGAGCTTACCTGGCTCCACCAAAGCCACACGTAGTAGGTGGACAGGCTCGGTATGAACCCAGGTCTGAGGGATGTAGCACCTACGTGAAGTCTACATGCTGCCACTCGTCAATGTCCTGTGATCCACATGCACCCCATCCGTCCTAGGCTGCAGACATAGTGCCGGTGGGGGGGGGGGTGCTGTTTAGCATGACTTCAAGTCTAAACAATTGAGCTGAGTTGATTTTAAGTAAGAACAGTATAGACAGGAGCACTGTGG